ACGGGTTCTATTAGAAAGAAAAGTGAAACAAAAATATATCTTACTTACATGTTTGTCTTTGCATGATGCCGATCATGCTTAAACCGCCATGGCTCATATGGGTATATTAGTGGCAAGAAGGCCAGGGTTCCCACAATGTCTTCCAATAATTTGTTTTTCGAGAATGATTTGTGAGCACAATCATGGCCTATAACAAAGAACTAAAGAAATGGGAGGGGAATAAGAAAACAAAAGAAAAAGTTGGCATTGAAGCATATTGAATTTGCGTTTATAATAAATAAACATTAATATTAAAATATAAAATGCAGACTGTAAAGAAGCTTACCCCAGTTATTGCTGTCCCTGTCCATGCCCAAGCCAAAGGAAGTAGATACCATGGGGCTTTTGAAATCATGAAGATCCCCAATGCATAGGAAGTGACAGATATTAAAACTGATGTCCATGCTTTCACATCATCAATCTCAAACACCTTATCAAAAAAATTTGGGAAGAAAGAAGGAAATGAACAAAGAGATTTATTATTTAAATAATAGCATATACGCATTCAAGTTCATAACTTCACTTCCATTTAAAAATAATGATATTCATGCTTATTTTTTCTTTAGTTCAAAGTATCATGGTATGGTATAAAGAAGCAAAACATCCTTAAACAACCTGACTCCACTTTTCCTTGAAATAAAAAAAAAATCTTTTACTATAGTTAACAGCGGACATCTGGTTATGAGCACATATCTCCAACCGTGAAAGGAGCAATGTCTCAATTGTTAAATAAAATTAGCTGGTTACACAATCCTGCTTATACAGATGAACATATGGCCCAAAAGTTCGCTCTGCAGTAAGCCCAACATGGCAAAACATTATACTTTGGACCATATTCAGGGAAAAATGATATCAATAAGCAAGAAGCCATCAGAAAATATACCTTTTTCGGAAGGGTGTCTATTACATCCTTTAATGTAACATTATCAGGAAGTGGCTCTCCAATTTGCCTGAAGCCATATCTGTCCGCTAGCTGTTTTCTGTACTCAGCACTGTCTGCTGAAGATGGTGTTACTGGAACGGCCACAGCTTGAATGACTTTAGTCCTTTTCATGGGAATTAAACCCTTGTTATGACTAATTCCCTTGAGTAGAAGGCTGTCCCACTTCAAATGACAGATCCTTGCTAATGGAAGAAAAAAAAAAAGACAAAGGCATTAAAAGCTAAAATACTGGTGCAAGAGGATATTACATAGAACAACAGAAAATAAGATGCATACTACACCAAATGCTAATCATACATATGAGAAGGCTAAAACCTCAGAGGCTGTACAAGATTGTTAAACATGCAAACTGAAAGGACTGCATCGACTATGAAACCATTAAGCTTAATGGCATTTAGCTCAAGAAGTAAGCCCCTTATTTTTCTGTCATATTGGAGATAAACTGGTTCTCATAAATCCATGTAGTTTTTGGAAACACGCTTCACATGGGATATGATGAACTACAAAAAGCTGGCCACTGCTCCACTTGAAGTTGTTTCAACTGAGTGGCTGAGTGTATTGCCATCCAGTGTTTCAAGTAACGTAAGTTGGTATCTACAAATGATCCAGATAATCTTCTGGTGATTAACTAAATGCTGGTCCAACAGAGACGGCAGGAGGAGTAGTGATCTGGACAGAATCCATAGAGCGGCCACTCAAAAGACTTTAAACCTTAAAGCATGCTCTTGCAACGCCCTCCCCACCAACCCACACCCTACCCCTCCCCTAAATAGGTAATACAAGAAAAGAAACTCTTTTCATATCAGGCCACAGGCTGTTTGAAATTTTACTAGTTACAGACAAAGACTTTTATTTACAATAGACAGCATCTAGTTAGTGGTTTCATTGTTGCCAATTTGCTTGATAATGTACCCCATGTCCTTTTTTCCAGCTTAGTTTATTTTGCAAGCAAATTGTAGTCATTGCATGCGTATGATCCTTGAGACTTGTTCTCGTAAAACTTCTACTTGTTTGTTACACTTTAGCTTCAAATTCTCGCATTGAAAGATTGATTCTTCTTCTTCTTCTTTTTTTAATTATTGGAATCAGAGATACTAATAATTTTGATGCAGGTGACTGAGGCACAGCGTCAAAGGTTTTTATATCCACCTCCCTTGAAATTGAATTGCCACAGTCAACCGAGAATGCAGCTCATAACAAGTACAACGGAAAACGCTAACTGAAGAAATACATCAAATTCGCAAAACCCAAATCACCAAATGAAACAAAAACCACATTAAGTAGACAATAGCTCGCATCTCTTGAGCTTCAGAGAAAAGATTAGAGAGAGAAAGAAAGTTGAATACCTGGAGAAGAATGGGTAGCAATTCTTTCACTCCTAATTGGCCTTTGACAAGGACCCTGAAAATCAAAGAAATAAAGGAACGAAATTTAGAAGTAAAAAGTAAAAACAACGAAAGAATAAATTTTTATACAGACTGAAGGAGCAGAGCATACCAAGCAAAGGAACATAGAATCTGCAATTTTGCAAGCCATGGGAACAGAAATGCAGAAAGCACCCAGCTTCAGAGCACACCCTCCTTCCCTTCCCTTCTTAGGAGGGTCTTAAATGAGTATGGAGAGGAGAGGAAGTAGAAGAAGGGAGGAGGGAAATAGATAGGCTTTTTAAGCCCTTTCTAAGGACAAGTTAACAAAGGGCCAAAGAGAGAGTCTTTGAAAAGACTCTGATCCTCTCAAATGCTAAGACTTAAGAGAAAGGACATAACAATAACTACCGCAAAGTTCACACTTTGCGCTTGTGTGTCTCTTGCTCTCTTACTGCCTCTTGTTGTGGATAGCAATCCTTGCGTCATGTGCACTAATGGCTACCATTCATGGCTTCTTGGATTTTTTTTTCGCTACTTCTTTGTTAATGAAAAATGAGGCTATATATGCCCATGGTTATCTCTTAATTATATTTCCTAAAGTGTGTTAAAGAAAAATGAACCATGCTACCGTAGTTCAACTGCTTGTCTTATTCTTATCGGCACACATTCAACGAATCAAATAATCTTTAGAAGTACATTTTGTTTTGGTCGATGAAATTAAGGATGCGTGCGTCACATGCCATGAAAATGGACATTTTGTCACTTTTTCCTACTGCCCAAGTATTTGCACTAGTTTCATACGGCAAGAATGTTCTTCCTCTCGGCCTAACACATTGAATTGAAAGCACGAATTGCATGATAAATTTGCTCTTGATAGTCACCCACTGCTTAAAGTATTTCTCAATCCATTTCCGACCCATTATAATTGAACGAAAGCCATCAAAAAGGCAGAAGCGCCCAAGTTGAAGTACTTTGACAAACATTTTCTATCCTTAATCAGCCAATGAATGAATGAGAGTAACGTCGGTCACTGTTTTGTGTCAAAAAAAGTGACCACCGTCCTTGTCTGACACCATTGAAGGGGCAACCTCGTGGGAGATGAGGTTTGTGAAAACGAAAAAAAGAAAGATCATAGGATCCCCAAGAATTGGCCAATCCGTCGTGGTATTTGACATCAAACATCAAACATCAAAAGCAATGGCTATCTAGGTTTACAGGTGTGACAATCAAGAACTAGCTAATAAGCTTCACAGCCATGGATCAAAATTCCTTCTTTTAACAAAAAATATATCAAGGCCACTGCTGCTGGAAAATGGTGCCCCCTGCAGGCTGTCTACTGGCAACCGAAATTTTTAACTACATATAAGAGGAAAATGGTCTAACAGCTACTAGTGTTTTGATTCCAGGCTAACATGGAATAGTCATTCCTATAAGCGTTTTGGTAGAACCTGAGAAGAAATTTCCAGTGCCACTACTTTGGCCTCAAATGCTGCAAATAGCACAAAATAATGATGAAATTATTGAATGCTTAAAGTAATGATAAAATTATTTTAAACCATAAAATAGTTAATGAATGGTTTGATGCGTTTGCTACCCTGTGCAAAGATGATTCACTTAGGTAGAGCCCCATATCTAGAGTTCAGTTTGGGGGAATTTATTTACTGTGATGGGACTTTGTATACAGGTCCATCATGATTTTGATCTCCTACTTGTTGAGTTGGGCGGTCCTGTAAGTCTCACAAGGTTGCAACTATCATGTCCTGTAGGCTATGATCGTCCCTTGGGCCTCAAGGATTGTAAATTGTTATTTCAGATAATTTAGACTTATGGCGTGTTATTGAAGTCATGGCGAGAGAGTTTATTTATATCTAACATGAAATTAAGAACCAAAAAGGAACAAATGTACGTATTCAGATTGCAATATCATCCTCCTCCTGTCACGATCCACATTCAAAAAATTCACAGACGACTCAATCTCCAGTTTTGACACTGCTAATTGAGTTTCCAGAGGACTGTCATGATGTGGGTGTTTTCAGTTTAAAAGCCTTTCTTCCCAACTGATTCTCATTCACCTTGAACTTGTCATTTTTTCATACCTTGCCTTCCATAGCATAATCCTGAAGGAATGGTTAGTAATGGCTATATGGGCATTTATTCTTCGATTTATATCCGATAAATTCCAGCCCAACCACCCAACCTTTATTAAATTTATTGGTATTCTTAGTACCTTGTGATCAACCAACAACTTGAAAGTAACCAATCTTGAACTTGAATTAATGCTAGGTATACTTCTATGACTTTGCAGGGGTAGACCGAAACTGTTTCCAGAGATAGACTTGGTACTTACCGTGGAAGGATAATGAAAACGAAAAGGTAGGAGAAAGGGAGAGAAACTTTCTTTTGTCGGGTTTTCCCAGAGCCCCAACAAGTTTTACACATATAAAAATGAAAACACAACATAAAAGGGTAAAACAACGTAAGTAAAACCGCATGGTGGTGGACAAATGTGACGTAGGTGTCGGCCAGAGATGGCGTCCACGTCACATGGGGCGCGCAGGTGGGTGACAACTGACAAATTCTCCTTGTCAGCTGCAAAGCTAAAGCCTAAGCCTTGCCCTTTTTAGGTGCACAAACAAACTAACAAACTATTTCTCTCTCTCTCTCTATTCTATCAAATCAAATCGTTGCTGTGAAATCTTTTTGGTTTTCAGTATCAAACAAAAACTACTACAAAAAGAAAATACACCCACCAAATCATTTCCTTCAACCGCAAGCCTAAAGCGCTTCAATTTAATTCGAATAACTGTCACATTCCATCGGATAAAACAAATAGAATTTTCATTATTCAACATTCAACAAACTCCCTTCTTTCAAGGACAAGGTCTGTTCTTTCTTCTTTTGTTTTGTTCTTTTTTGTTTTGAATGTTTATTGTTTTGTTGCTTAACTGTTTTGGAGTCTGATTGAGTTAATGTTTTTTTTAAGGATTCTGGAGCAAAGACATGGCCTTGTTTCGTAAACTCTTTTACAGGAAGCCACCTGATGGCCTTCTGGAGATCTGTGAACGTGTCTACGGTGCGTTTGGTCTTCTTGTCTGTGTTCAAATTTGTGTCTTTTCATTGGGATTATTAAAAGGTCAATGTTTTTAGTGGAATTCAGTTCTCTTAACTTTTTTGAAATATGAAAAAATTGGTCACTCATGAAATGATTGATATTTGGGTGATTAAATATGATTTTTGAAAAGATTGCTGTTTTTCAGAATATAGGTTCTGTTTGGTTGCTTAGGAAATTTGGGAAAGAAATGCAAAGTTTGAATTCTCTGTCTCAGTGTTTAGGAGAAGAGGAAAAGAGAAAAAGAATAAAAAAGGAAACATTAGAATTTAGTCTTATTGGGCAATTTTATCACTTGAAAATTGAAAACGTAGCTTGTGTATCTTTCATGTCTGACAATTTGTGTGTGCTGTGGTGGCATATAGTTTTTGATTGCTGCTTTACTACTGATGCTTGGGAAGAAGAAAACTACAAAGTCTACATAACGGGAATTGTTAGTCATCTTCATGATCACTTCCCCGATGCTTCATTCTTGGTCTTCAATTTCCGGGAAGGAGAAACGCAAAGCCAGATGACTGAATTCTTATCCGAGTATGATATGACGATAATGGATTACCCTCGTCAATATGAAGGGTGCCCGTTACTTGCAATGGAGGTGTTCCACCATTTTTTGAGATCATGTGAAAGTTGGCTCTCACTTGGTCAGCAAAATTTGCTTCTAATGCATTGTGAACGAGGTGGTTGGCCGGTCTTGGCTTTCATGCTGGCTGCATTGCTGTTATATAGGAAGCAGTACAGTGGAGAGCAGAAGACGTTGGACATGATATACAGGCAAGCTCCCCGTGAGCTTTTGCAGTTGCTGTCACCTCTGAATCCAATTCCTTCACAGTTGAGGTATCTACAGTATGTCTCGAGGAGGAATGTGGCCTCAGAATGGCCGCCTTTGGATCGAGCTCTCACCTTGGATTGCGTCATTCTTAGATACATTCCTAATTTTGATGGAGAAGGAGGCTGCCGTCCAATATTTCGAATATATGGACAGGATCCTCTTCTTGTTGCTGATAAAACTCCAAAAGTTTTGTACTCAACTCCCAAAAGAGGCAAATTTGTACGGCATTATAAGCAGGTAATATCAGATTTTTCTTGTCTTCTCAATCAGTTTTCATTCTCATTCCCCACCTCCTCCCTTTTTGTTATTAAAGGGAAAACGGTTGACATTCCTCATATCTTTTGAGGATTTAAAAGCTTGTCACACATCTAATTTTCCACAATGTTAGTAATATTTGACAATCTTGGGACTAGTGTGGAAGACTAGTAAATGGATGTATGGCCCTTTTTCCTTAGGTGCTTCAGTTGTTAATTAGGTTACATCTGCTACATTCAACCCTGTTCTTGAAACTCAAACTTGGGAAGTTATGCTCTAATACATATGTTGTATTATGAAAAAGTCAATAGTTTTTGTAACACTAATCCCCTCAGTGTATGTATAGACACATAACCCCAGTATTGCTTGGGCATTTGCTTACTCTTATTGTCACATCTTCTTTTATATGTGCCTACTGTTTGATTACTCTAGAGCATGTGATTGTCTAACCTCTTACTATTTGACTGCAGAAAGAGTGTGCGTTAGTTAAAATTGACATAAATTGCCATATTCAAGGTGATGTTGTGGTTGAGTGTATCAACTTGAATGATGACATGGAAAAAGAGGCGATGATATTCAGGGTTGTGTTTAACACTGCTTTTATAAGGGCAAACATTTTGATGCTTAATCGTGATGAGATTGATATATTGTGGGATGCTAAGGAGCTGTTTCCAAAAGAATTTAGAGCTGAGGTATATATTTTTCATACATTTTGTTTGCAATTTCGTGGTTCTTTTTTATTTGCTTTTTCTAATAAAACGTTACCCTGTGGATGAAGATTCTTTTCTCAGAAATGGATGCTGCTTCTTCCATTATTTCCATGGATTTTCCTTCCTTTGAAGAGAAAGAAGGTCTTCCTATGGAAGCATTCGCCAAAGTTCATGAAATCTTTAGTCATGTTGACTGGTCAGATCCTAGGGCAGATGTTGCATTTAACATGCTCCAACATATAGGTGCATCAAATATTGTCCAAGAAAAGTCTGACAGTGATAGGAATAGCAGTGTGGATCTCAGCCCTCGGCTGCGGAGACTAAGTTCTAAAACACTTCAGGATGAAACAAAGTTCACAGTATCACCACGTAGCCCAAGAAGTCCTGCATCTATCGGTATGAAGATTCTATCTGCATTCTCACAAATGTCATCTCTTGATTCTGATACAAGTAAGGAGGCTAAGCCCCAAGACTCTCGCATTGAACCATTCAGTCAGTCTGGTGTCATGCACCAACAAAATAACCAGTCTACTGCAGGGCCACTTCTGCATGATTCTGTGTCATCTGTTAGTCAGGTCAGTCATCTAACTGCAGCATCTGCAGATGCAGTAAATGATTCTCCAGTTGTGTCACATAAACCGAAAGCTGTTGAAACTAAAAGCATTTCAGTTTCTCCACAAACACCTTTATCTGCCCCAGTTCAACCTCCCTCTACTTCTAGTGCAACAAAAGCAGCTCTTCCTCATCCCCCACCACCTCCTCTTTCTTCAGCATCAGAACCGCCAAAGTCTTCACCTGCTATAGAAATTGGAACTTACTTACAAGAAGGCAAGTCTGCATTAGCCAAAGATGCTCTTGTAGGCAAGACTCCATTTGCAGCAGCCACTTCAAAGGCTTCCCCTTCTTCCACCTCTCCAGCCCTTGCAATAGCTTCAACTGTGCCACCTCCTTTAACACCACCTCGCAAGGAGGACCCAGCTATTAGAGCGAGCCCTCCTGCAGCCCCTCCACCTCCTCCAACACCACCTTCGAAAGAGAATCAAACTGTCAGTGGCGTACATCTGGAAGCATCTCCACCTTTGGAGGAAAATTTAGCTCTTAGTCCTAGAATTCCAGCAGCACCTACACCTCCTCCTGCATCTCCCTTGAATGAAATTGCAGCTGTTAGAGATGGACCTCTTGCAGTTCCACTGCCACCTCCTCCTCCAGCAACTGTTAGAGCTGGGTCCCCTGCAGCTCCTCCACCACCACCTCCTCCTCCAATGCCACCTTTGAAGGAAAATTTAGCTTCTAGATCTGCACCTCCTCCACCTCCACCACCTCCACCACCTCCTCTTCTTTCCAGGCAAGCAGCAAGTCCTGCAGCTTCATCATCAGCACCCCCACCACCACCGCCACCTGCCCCTGCCTTGTCATCAAGTTCTTCTCAAGTTCCTGCTGCCCCACCACCTCCTGCTCTCTTTCCTAAAAAGACAAATGGTGTTTCTCCAGAACCTCAAGCTGTAGGTCAAGGATCTTCAGCTCCTGCACCACCACCTTTTAGTCCTTCGACAAATTCAAAGAACAGACTTTTGTCACGTACTATTAGTTCAAAGAGTCATCAGACCAAGAAACTAAAGCCATTGCATTGGTTGAAGTTATCTAGGGCTGTGCAGGGTAGCCTATGGGCTGAAGCACAAAAATTGGGTGAAGCATCTAAGTATGTGCTGCTCTGCTGCTAAGTTTGGATTCTTTTTTTCCTTTTTAAATATCCTTTAAGGCTATGGTCTTTTACTTGTTTCTTTTTAATTCATTGGATTTATTAACCCTCTTTCTAGGGCTCCAGAGATTGACATGTCAGAGCTTGAGAATCTTTTCTCAGCAGCTGCTCCGAATACAGATCGTGGTGGAAAATCAAGTTCGCAGACTGCACGTGGGCCAAAATCTGATAAAGTGCAACTGGTAATGCATTTTTGGTATTTAAGTGATACAATTGTTTATTCAATTGCTTGTTTCATCGATGTTACCATCTGTAGTTTAATTCTAAATACTGTACAATCTAAGCTTTGGCTGATTGCCATAATTATTAAATACTAAGTGCAGTTTCCATCCATCTGCTTGTCATTGCTTATCTGCCTTATTCCAAAGAAAATATGAAACATTGTAAAACTGCTCTAGATGGGAAACTTGGATCCTGAAAATGAACCAGGATAGTTCTATTCTTTTAGTTTGATTCGCATAAGAAATGCAAGCTTTCAGTCTGATACATACTCACACATGAACCAAGACTTTATATCGTGGGCTGCTTGGTGATGATAACCATATCATGAACCTTATTATTATATCTTTAGTATGCTTTTGTTCAGTATCTTTCCTTCTTGCAGATTGATCACAGAAGAGCATATAATTGTGAAATCATGCTTTCAAAAGTGAAGGTGCCCTTGGCTGACTTAATGGTAGGTTGAACAGTATTGTTCACAGCTTGTAATTATTTACTTCTCTAAATAGTTGTCATGAAACGTTACATTTGGCTAATTTCCTCAAATCAACTTGCAAACTCACATGCTAACATTGGACTGCATTTTATCCTTTTATGGTTTTGCTTCTTATCCATCTTTGCTTACTTGCCTCTTTTCGCTTAACAGATGTACATATATGTGTAACAACTCAGTCCTCCAGACTGCCTATGATTTCAAATTGTGTGAAAATGGTATCAAGTTTTGGTGGAGGTGAAAAGCATAGCTTATATGCAGCTTTAAGGAGAAAAGCTTGCAGAGCTGCTATTAATATTGATGTAGGAGCTGCACAAACTTTTTTATTAATAAAAACTCGGTTTGCATCTGTAGCTATTGTTCATATAAAGAGTTATAAAATGTGCAAGCTAAATCCCAGTCTATTGAAGTTTCAAAATTTTACTTGGACAAAAAAAAGCTCTCTAACAACTAAAGGCATAGAGTACTGCTGCACAAGTTGTTATTTATAAAACCTGCAAATTTTATGAATAAAATTCATCTGATCTAAAAATATATATGTATTTTTCTCGATTCCTCAGTATACAGGAGGTAAATACTACATTCACTATGTAAAAGGTACAGACCTTTAGGTTTTCATGATGGAATCATAAATAATTTGTTCATTTAGAAATGCATCCTTGACTATGTTTGTGCTATCAAATGCAGGTCTCAGATTTTGGTAAGTCCATAATAGTATGGATTTTCACTCAATAAGCACAAATATCAAATTGCATGCATGAATGCATCTCTATTGAAATATGGTTTGCTTAAAAGGGAAGAAGTTGTAATATGTGAATATGATGAACAATCTGTTAATCTTTCATACCAGAGGGGTGGTATCTCTTGCTTGATAACCTTATGCCACTTAGTGAAACTTTTGTAGAGTTCGGTGCTTGCCTTGGAGGATTCAGCATTGGATGTTGACCAGGTTGATAACCTCATAAAATTTTGTCCTACCAAAGAGGAGATGGAATTGCTAAAGGTGAAATGAATCATTGTTATTGGGTTAATATTTGTGTTAAATCCTTGATCATAATAACGGTAGACTTAGTGCTCTCCTCTAATAATATTTATGCCTTTGATGTAATCAACACATCTTATATCCAAGGTTCTAGTATTATCTGCTCCATGAGTTATAATTGTATTCATAATGCCTTTGTTCAGGGCTATACTGGAGAGAAGGAGAAGTTAGGGAAGTGTGAACAGGTTAGGATTTTTTTGCTACTTCCTTATAAGTTGTTTATTTGTTGTCTGCTGAGTCTCTTCTCAAAATTATGAGTTGTTCTTAGGTAGAATACTTTCTGTTGGATATCATAATTCGTCATCAACTGAAAAGGGATATTTGAACTATCCAATCTGGCATTCACTTGAATAAATCAGTTTACTATCCTATGTTTCTCTATTTCATATTGTTGGCTGATATTTTCACATGCAGCATTAATTCAAACTAATAAATTTTAAATTAGCTACTTATGAACGTTATGAAACTTTGGATGGTAAAGGAAGAGAAACATGTCAAGTCTTCTTCTATCTCTTGTCTTTGAGTGAAGTTGGTTTTCTTTTATTAGGTTGGTATTTGTGTAAAATTGAGAATGGAACTTGTTAATTTAGTTGCTTTGATGAACCTATTTCCATCTGCTTGACTAGGATGTTATTCTTTGCTACATGAGATGTGAAATAAGTGGTGATTAACCCTCTGGTTTTTTCAGTAGTGCATCATGTATTGTCTGTATGCTCTCTGGTACCTTTTGTTAGTTTAAGAGGGGAGAAGAAGTGAGGAAAGGTGTTGGGCCCTTACTACATCTCTAGACATTCCAAGTTTCAATTTTTTGTTTTTTGAATCACTCTGTGCAATGATGTTGGAAAGATTGGAAGTTTTGATGAATTTTGTTGTGAATTATTATGTTGAGATATTAGCCACCTGGATTCCGCTTCTATAGCAGCTCATTATAGAGAACGAAATTTTTACCAAATATATCTTCTTTTAGCATCATTAATGGATCAATATGTTTCTTGGACCTCTGAGACAGTTCTTCTTGGAGTTAATGAAAGTTCCTAGAGTAGAATCCAAGCTCAGGGTTTTCTCTTTTAAGATACAGTTTGGCTCCCAGGTTTGATCAAAATCTGTATCCAAGTTCCAAGTTCCCAAATGTTCTTGGCTTTTCCTTTTTACTTATCTGGCCTTGAATTGTTTTTTAGGTTTCTGACCTCAGACGTAGCCTTAATGTTGTGAACTCTGCAGCAGAGGAGGTAAGTTACAAATTTTTTGCTTGCATTCTTCTTTGTGGAACTGCTTTAGATATTTAAGATTGACATCACATTAATGTCAAAACTTCTTTTATCAGATAAGAAATTCTGTCAAATTGAAGAGAATCATGCAGACAATTCTTTCATTAGGAAATGCTCTGAATCAGGGAACTGCAAGGGGTGAGTTAATTACAATTTGTCTGGTATTGGAACTATGCTAATACACTATCATACATAAGTATCATCAACATTAGGAGGCATCAAAATTGACTCTGAAATTTAGATCAATTATGTATCCTTGTAAATGGGAGTGGCTGAGGCTCCAATGTGCATCAGGAACTTTAGTGCTAAATACATTTGCTTATATGTGCTAGTGCTCAGCTTTTGGGTGAACACCCCTAAAATATTGTTTCCTACCTTTCTACTGGGAAAATTCTTTAAACCATCTATCCCTTTTTTTCCCCCATATTTGTCACTCCACTTCTCATTGCATTATCAAGTCTTTCATGTCTTTGGCTTGGTTACCTGACCTTTAATCTTGGTGTAGCTTAAGATGTCTTTGAGTATTAAGTCACAGTCAGCTCTTTCATTGTGAATTAAAACGTATTACAGTTAGCGTCGAATTCTTTATTTATATATTAGATTTATTTTCCTTTTTTTTTTTGACAGTGGTCCCAACTCCTGTGTTTCTAATTTTTCTTTAATGATGTCAAAAAATTTTGCATCTTTTATTCAATGCCCAAATTTTTTAGGTTCTGCTGTTGGATTTAGGTTGGACAGTCTTCTTAAACTAACAGAGACACGTGCACGGAACAACAAGATGACTCTCATGCATTACCTTTGCAAGGTACAAGTTGTGACTGATCATTGGATTTCTTGTGACCTTAATCACAACCTTTATTTATTAATTTAAATATATATGAACCTGTACTCATTTCTTTTCTCCTAACTTATTTTCTTGAATCTGGTACCTTTCCATAAAAAGTTCAATGTAATTAGTTGGGCATAATAATTCTGAAAAATAAACTGTAGGTCCTTGCTGATAAGCTTCCAGATCTACTAGACTTTTCAAAAGATGTTTCCAGTTTAGAACCTGCATCAAAGGTATGTTACTTGCTCTTAGTGAAAATAATTTTAAGAAGATTGAAGTTTAAGCTAGCATCTTGGTTGAAGTGTGGTTCCTATAGATACAACTGAAATATCTAGCAGAGGAAATGCAAGCCATAAGCAAAGGATTGGAGAAAGTTGTGCAGGAACTGTCCAGTTCCGAAAATGATGGGCCTGTGTCAGAAAATTTTCGTAAGGTAATTTAAGAATATAATCTGACATGTTTGAAATTGATGTAAACACATAATCTTCTTTTCTTTCTTGATGTTTTCTTCTGTTGTCCAGACTTTAAAGGAGTTCCTTTGCTTTGCCGAAGCTGAAGTAAGATCCCTGGCTTCACTATACTCAGGGGTGGTATGTCTCTAGCTCTTGCTGTGAAGAGTAGCATTCCTACAAATGTTGATCGTATTAAACCATTTATTATCTGAGGTCTATATTGACAGGGTAGAAATGTGGATGCATTGATTCTTTATTTTGGAGAGGATCCAGCTCGCTGTCCCTTTGAACAAGGTATTTGATAGTTGTGATCAGTTTGTGCTTCTACTCTCATTTGACAGCTGATTATGCAAAAAGTAAAACCTTTGACTTAATCTAGTACAAAAAAGAGAGAATGAAATTGGAAAAAAATGAAAAGGGCAAGCTTAGTCTGCTTTGAGTCTGTAATGCTTTCATATCTCTGTTTGTTTGTTGACAGTTATAGTTTTTTTCCCTCTATATTCTTCTTCTGAACTACTGCTGTTTGCTGCAGTTATTTCAACTCTACTCAATTTTGTGAGGATGTTCAATAAAGCTCATGAAGAGAACTGCAAGCAGCTTGAGCAGGAAATGAAAAAGTCAGCGGAAAGTGAGAAGTTGAAGATGAATGCTTCACAGAAGGAATCAGAAAACTTATCGCAAACTTCTATTGCCAGCAGCAATGTCAAATGATTCAGAGAGATCAACCTAAACTGCTTTCCCTTCTCAGGAGCAGAAAATTTATATATACTCCAAAAGGGCCAGAGGCATTCGAACAACTGTTTGCATTGGCAGAAAACATAAGGTGGCGGCTTTGTTGTTGAGAGGAGAACATATGGTTGACTGGTACAATCAAAATGTGAAATGCAAATACGAAAGTGATGCATTTCGCTGCTAACTCGATGTTCCTGAGAGGCAAGCACTACCAACCACCAATCCCAGTTCATTTTCAGTCATTTTGCCTAGTTTAGCTTAATGCCTGTGCCTCTTCATTTCTTCCCTTGCTGCACAATATAACTTACTGATGGGGTCTTATCATTTTTGTTTGGAGCACAGATACTGGGTTACTTCTGTAAGCAACTTGTAAATTATCTTCACAGAACTTGTAAGTAGTTTTCAAGAAACATTTTTTTGGGGATTGTGAATCTCATTTTCCCCCCATCAAAAATTTTGTTTTCATTCCCGGATTTGCCAAGTTTTGCTTTGCCAATGTGCGCTTTGTTTCTCAACAATAAATAATTGTGGGACTGTATATCTGCCACATCTATTGATGGGCATCCTTTCCACCATGAAAGATCTCAAGCTTCAGCTTTTGATTTTTACAGAGTTTGTGAACTTAAAAGGATCATATCTGAGGTAGCAAAGTAATGCACCAGGTTTAATTTTCCATGTGCTATGCACCCTGGAGCTTGACCAAAAGTGGTTGACATCCCTACATTTAACACATTGAAGAAGTTTTACCTTCCTTTTTCATTTGTAGGTGTCATATAATATTAATGTGATGTATTGATTTATTATAATAAATGTTTATATAATATGATGATATGTTCATATGTTTAAATATTTTTTTATTTTTTATATATTTATTTTTTCTTAAAGGTAGTACTAATTGAAATATATTTATCTAATTTATGGACTTGCACTTCCACCCACACAATTTACAATGCCTTCCCTATAATTGTGGCAATCCCAATATCAGAAGCTTGATGAAAATTTTCTGAAGGAGAGATTTGATGAAATTTGTGTCCTTTTTCCATGCAAATGGGTGGCAATCACCAAGGGTTCTTATAATACCAAGTAAATACTGAGAATTGACAATTGTGGGTCAACTGTCCCCGATTTCCATCAATCCATAAACATTAAAATAAAAAAAAAGTATGTGGCTCAGTTGATTCGAATCCGCCACTGCCTTGGTACCCTAAATCTTAAATTTGTCTCGGAGTTAAGTGAGAGCTAATTTAGAATATTTTTTAATATAAGTACACGTAACATGTGGTATTAAAATTAATATAATTAAAATAAAATTTCAATCGTCATAAAATTATTTTAAATTTTAAATGAGAGTTGTTAAGATTTGTTTCGAACAATTATAATAATTCAAATTCAAATATCATCAATTTAATAAAATTTTTAAATATTGACAATCACGTCCACATCGATATAAGTCAAAATATCCCGAATGATTCTTGCTTAGAGTGTTAATAGTTCTTATAGAAGTGCGAGTCACGTGTCTTCAACAGAACAAAAATGTGAGGGCACATCAAAGCATCCCTAGCTCTAATTTACTCTTATTATCACTGCGCAGCTGCTTAAATTATTGTCCCTAGACATGCCAATCCACAATGCAAATGCCAAGAAATTGACTCCATATTTCTCTTTCTTTGCTATAAATTTTATAAGTTTGGATCTCACTGACTTTCATTTCTAACGTATCAAATGAAGCTTTGACTTGGTATTATTATTTGGATTTTGTACATTATATTTGGTGAAAGTTAACAATTAATGCATTTTCAGCTGTGCTTAGGTGCTTAATTAGGTGCCCTTAATGATGATTAATCATAGTCTTGTCAGTCCTGCTTTGCATCCACTCGCCCTTTCAAACATTGCAGTACAAAGCAAGTGGGCAGAAAGTTGTAGGGAAAAGGTACAGTGAACATTACCTGCTCTCATTGCACCTACTTCTCCTCCTAGGTGGTGGGTTTTTGCTTGCTGCTTTGATTATGCTGTAAAATTGTTCAAAGGGCATCAATTTATAGCAAGTTCAGGTTGTAGTACAAAGTCCTGAGAATAAATCTTTTGATAAGGGAAAAGAAATAGTGATCTTCTACATATTGCAAACAAATGATCAATACCCAAGAATGATTGGATTGGGTAAATTGGTGTCGGTGAGGAAAAAGAGTACAAATTTCAGTTTGTCCACACATGAAGAAGGGCAGCTCTTGGCATGATATGGCCTCGCATGCTTGTGAGAAAGCAAAGAAAAGAGAGGGTGGGGTCCCAACCTTGCAATAAACAAAGCCTTTTTTTCATGTTCACTAATTGGATTCCACCGGTCAGCCTTAACCCCAGACATTCCTCCCGTTGCCATAAAGCCTTCTTGTGTGACAAAATATCCCATATTTCAATTGATCATGATGCAAGGAGGTTTCAGCATCTGATCTCAGTTTGGATTGAATGGCCACTTTGAGCTTTGATGGTTTCCTGACAATGGGGTTTAAGGGGTTCCTTCAACCTTTCCTGTTCTTGTCAACGTTGCAATAAAAGTAGTAATAGCAACAAGTTCACCTACATCTTCAAGATAACTGATTAAGATCAAGAGCTCTGGAAAGTCAATGCTCTACATCTGATAATGGTGGGCAATTAATTCTCTTTGGAGCCAATTCAACTTGGGACTAATTTTTGGATAACGAGGAGAAATGTGTGTGTTCCCACTTTATCAACCAGTCAAGCATTTCTTTGGAAATTGTCACCAGCAGTCCACCTAATCCTTGTGAATGACTGTTCAAACCAAACCCAAAAACATGAGTCTCAAGGACCCTCACCCTGACACTGACAATGACAAATATTCACCAAACGAACCATGGGATTTTCTTGCTTGCTTACAGGGACATATTTGTTTTCACTTTATCTTTTTCTTGGTGTAGGATTTTTGTTCTTCATACACCCAAAATTAGAGCATAATAAGGATTGAGCACAAAAATTATGAGGCAACAAAGCTACTGCTGCCATCACCTCTAAACACAAAAGCCACATATTTTTTGGCTTGGTTTGGAGTTCCACGCCAAGGATTACCTAGCAGTTTTTTCCAAACCACCTGTTTTTTTGTTTTTTTGCCTCAGAATCAGATTCAAAGAAAATTAACTGAAGGCAGGCACCCCTCTTTCATTGCAGAACAACTCTTGGTTGCATAGAATACAGTGATCTCCAAGTCTGAGATATCCCTTTGATACTGAAAAAGAGAGAACAATTAAGCAGAGGGGAAAAAAAAAGGTTGAAACAAAAGAAAAAGAGAGATCCTTAACAACAGCCCCAAATCATTTAACCCCACCACGTCTGTATCTCAGGCTTCTCTCATGAGTAGCCAGGGCCGACATTAAATAAAAAGAAAGAAACAAGAGCAAAAGGAAAAAAGCAAGGAACCCAATCCTCTGTCCCTTGCAACTCACTCTCTCTCATTCTCTCTCTCTCTCTCCCTCAATTGCTTTGCAAAGGGGAAGGTAATGTTCCATCTCAACAACCTCCATTTCTTCAACTTAAAGCCTCTTATCCAATAATTAACATCCATGCCCCAGTAGTACTCAATTACCGCAAAGGAAGGGTAAAAGGAGGGTAAGATAAATAGGTGGAAAGAGATGGATTTGGGTAGTAGGAGAATAGAAGGAGCTAAGAGCAGTGTTGTTGCAGGGTCAGTGTGGGAAACTAGGATGAAGAGTGATGAAGTCAAAGGTGGAATTAAGGTTTTCAATGGGGAAGAAAACAGCAATGTTGAAGAAAATGGTGATAGTGGTAATAAAAGATTGAGTTTGAAGAAAGGCCAAACTGTCGGCGGTGTGGCTGTTAGTGGCAAGAGAAAGACTTGGAAAAGTGAAAGCTTTGAAGGGTTTGAGAAGAACCCAATTCAGATTGCCAAAGGCAAAGCTGGGGAACAGTGCAAGGAGTTGAGTGTGTCTGTTGATGGGATTAAGAAGAGCCCAATTCGGGTAGCTAAAGGAAGATCCTCCGATGAACATTGCAAAGACTTGAGCTTGTCTGTTTATGGAATAAAGAAGACTCCAGTTCAGGTCAAGAAAGGAAGATCTGAAGGAATTAGGGAGCTTAGTAAGTCTGTTGATGGGATTCCGAGAAGCTCAATTCCAATGAAGAAGCCAAGATCTGAAGTCGCTAAAAGGTCTGGTGAGCTGAGAAAAGAGGTTGTTGAATCTAGTGAGAGGATAGAGGCGAATTCAGTTCAATTAAGGAAGCCAAAATCAGATTCAGTTAAGGCCTCTGATCAGTCTGGTAATGGAAACGGAAATGAAGCGGATTCACTTCAATTGAAGAGCTCGAAATCGGAGGAGAATAAAGTTTTGGTTTTGGATGATGAAAAACAGGGGAATAATGTTTCCATTGAAGAAAATGAGAAGAACCCAGTTGATACAGAGAAGAATGGATCTGAAGAAAACTGTAAAGAGTTTGGCGTGTGCCAAGAAAAGGTAATTTCAAGCAGTACAAGCAATGGAAACACGGTCAAATCATCTCCTGAAGGATTAGTTGACGATGATGATGATGATGGTGAAGATGATGAAGAATTTTATGAAGAAGAGGAAGAGGAGGAGGCGGAGGAGGAAATTGATGTTGGGAATGAAACGAAAAGTTTTGACATTAAGGAAATGAATGTACCAGAGGAGAAGCCTAACAAAGCTGTTAATGAAGAAGAGAAAATACCTGAAGACGAGCCTAACAAAGTTGTTCATGAAGAAAAGCCTAAGAAAGCTGTTAATGAAGTGAAGAAGCTACAAGAAGATAAGCCTAGCAAAGTTGTCAATGAAGTGAAGAAACTTAGCCAATTCCATAACAGAACTGCACCACTTTCTTCAACTGTGAATAAGCTGCCTCCCCCAGTTGTAAAGCGTTCTACTTCAGTTTACACAACTCCTACAAAAACCACAAAATCTACTCCTTGTAAGTCTGTGTTTCTATTTGAATCTTTATTGACATTAAGATTGCTGTTTTCTTTTCTCTTCCTTTTTCTTTTTGGTTATGAATGTTACTGACCTTGTTGGTTTCCTTCAGTTTCAGCCTCAGATGATTACCATTGTCAGAGTTTCCCACACACTCAGAACAAATTGCAGAATTTAGGTGGGAAAAGATTTCACTTCCAAGGAAAGATCAGTAAATTTCATATTTGCAACTTGTTTAATTCTTTTTCTTTTCTATATTTTATCGATCTTTCAGTTGATTTAGTCATGTGGAGAGATGTATCGAAATCGGCATTGGTCTTTGGGATGGGAACATTTATCATCATCTCATCCTCTTACACCCAGGACCTGAACATCAGGTGTCTAAACTTGTCAATGAAACACAAGTCTCAATTTTGGAATTTTATCTGTCTTTTTCATTTTAACCTCCTCTTTTTTAAAACAGAGTCCATTACTAAAACTCTGTCTGATCAATGCTTCTACAGCTGTATTTCTGTAATTTCGTATCTGGGGCTTAGTTACCTTGCTGCCATTTTCCTTTACAGATCAATCATCTGCAGGTAAATCAGATGCCGTCAATTATCACATGAACTGAGTTTAAAGCCAAATCTTTTCTTAACCCTTCTATTTCCTTTCTAATAACAATGCAGGGGAGTTGTGGATATAGATGAATCAAGCTGTGTGCTTGGAGAAGAAGAAGCCGTTTGGTTACTTAAATTGGTTCTTCCTTACTTGAATGAGTTCCTCCTAAAGCTCAGGGCACTTTTTTCTGGTGATCCTGCCACTACAATGAAGGTAACATTTCCATATTCCAACCCTTTGCTTTTTTTTTTTGTTTTCCATATTCATTTTTAACATTGAGGAGGAGGAAGATGGCAAAAAGAAGTTAATCAATTGGGACAATGGCAGCTGGCAGTGCTGCTATTTGTTTTGGCCAGGTGCGGCAGCTCCATAACTATCTGGAAGATGGCTAAACTGGGTAAGTTTTGTTTGGTTGAAATCATAACTTTTAATCATAACTTAAAACAAAACAAGCACCTTTTCTTTATAAAATGGGCAAACTTGTTTTCAAAAGAACAATTCTGTCATTATTTTTGCGATGGGGTTTGTCCCCTCCTTTACCTCATTGAATGCTCTTGGCTTTTCAATGCTATGAGTCTTATCTTCCTATAGCTTTTACCATGCTGAAGTAATTTTGCCTTTTGGTTCTCTCTACACGACTGTTAAATTCTTTCACCTGTTAACTGACCGCTTGGTTGTGCTTTCACTGCATCAGGCTTTTTTGGCGTTTTCACTGTACCAAAAGTCTGCTCTTCTTATTCCCACCAATTAACTGCGTACGGTAAATCCCCCCTCTCCCTCAATAAGTTACAGTTGTCTCTGTTGTTCATTCCTATTCATTATTACAATAATAATACTCTGAAGTTCTACTCCCATACCGTTACAAACTCACATCAATGGCACTGCCCCCACATCTGACCCTTTATATCCAAGAGCTTGTAGTGAACGTCTGATTAATTTAACGGCTCTTTTGTTGGTCTGATGATGTCTCCCTGACGGGTAGATTTCATGGGTCCTACGCTTTTTATGCTCCTAGGCCTTAAAAGTCAGTCTCCATCATTACATCGTTATCTCCATTATTGGATTCTTATTCGGCCCATTCCCTTTATCACCTCCCTTCTCATAAGCAAGTTTTAGGCTTGGAAAATTGAGGCATGAATGTTTCTATACTAGGACCTAGATGTTCTAATAATGGAATCGGATATGACTGCAATAACTTCACCATCAAGAGTGGGGGGGGAATGAAAGTTAGATGTATCAAATAATGAACATAGTTATTATTGTATGTAATAGGACTCATCATGGTGGGTAGCCGGCATAATGAAGTATTTGTTGCCCTGTCATTCTCTGCCTCGAATTGGGTTGGTGGGGGTGGTTAAATGTGCTTAATATTATAGGAATAAGCAGCTAAAAACAGGTTGATTCGGTTGCTAAATGATAAGCGTGCGTGTCATGGATCACCTTGATTTCTGCTTACTTCCATTCTGATGTCTTACATATTAGTAAAAAGTTTAAATAATTTTTTATATGATTTATCATTATTCATATTTTTAATTTAAAAATTATATTTATTAGATGGTAAATGGTTTATTCCTTATAGATGTGTAATCCGTTACATATGAATCGCTTTTTAAATTTCTTAAATAAAAAAGAAAATCATCTTGAAATAATCTAAAATATTTTAAATCTTTGTAAATACGAAGGAAAATTTTGGATACGACGCTTTCGTGATGCATGGGACTCATGCACGCATAAAAAAGCCGTGGCGGTGGCCATCTTCACCCTGGTTTGGAACCTATCTTCCATTGTTGCTCGCATTTGGGCTGGTAAGAACCAAATTCCAGAGCTACCTTCCTACCAAAACTGGTTCAATTCGATGGGTTTTTTCCTTCCTAACCCTTTCTTCCCTGTGTAGCATTCATGCTCTTTGTGGCTCTCCGATACTATCAGCAAAAAATGGTGACAGATGATTGGGTGGAGGACGAAGCTGGGCCCGGGAGTAGAGAAACATTCCAAGGACCGACAGGAACACAAAGACACGGGCCTGGACCCTCTAGGGTAGAAACAAATAAAGTAAAGAGAGGATCCTAAGAGTGAGCTTTGGCCCATATGCCTACATTAGGTGTTGCATTACATGTTCCAGATTGCTGTTTTGTTTTATTCCTTCATATATTTTTTTAATATATAGTTCTTTATATAGTATAATTTGTTTTTATCTTTATTTTTGGGGGTTGTAAATATGCATGTTTGGTTTATGTGACTTCATTTTAGAAGCTAACAGGTCCAATAGGCCAGCATGCCAATAAACAATTGATATTTTGATGTTGATTACAATGGAAAAGATAAATGGAAAGTTTACTAACTTTGGATTTTACTCTATAATATGCAATGTTGGTATAATGAATCCTCTTCCTCATCATAACCTTATAGAAAAATATATCAAATTTTTTAATGAATAAGCATATGCTTAATTATTCTTTAACTTTTCTATGCCTCTCTTTTCTGTTTAATGATTATTCTTGTTTTACTTATCCAGTCTAAGCTCTAGACTTTGATCTTATTTAAAAAATTTTATGTCATTTCATTGGATTTTCCCCATTCTTTGATTTATCACTTTTTGGCCTTACTGCCTAATGGATTTAGTCAAATTGGACAAACCCAATCTTCATTTTTGTTTTGTTTTTTTCTTTCTGTTCTTTTGCTTATATAAGAAGTGAGCTCAATTGGGTTTTCATCCATAATTTTAACTTTAAACACATCGATGACTTATGCATGGAAGATCAAACTTTGACTATTTTAACATAAGCTAGTTTCTCAAATGCTTCCTTGAGGGCCTGGAGGAGTGGAGGTAATGGTCCTTGGGTTGGGTTTGAGCCCAAGCTTATTTTCCTGGTTGCCACCAGGCCTAGCAGTGGCTGCTAGTTTGTTCATTGAGTATCCAAAAAACTTGGGCCATTCAAAAATAAAATTGTTGTATTATTCAAAAATAAAATTGATGCAAAATTTGTCTCAACACAAATTTCAATAAATAGATCATAAGATTTGGCAGTGATATGGACTCATATCAATATTCTTTTCCATTTTTTTGGCCTAAGGAGCAAATTGACTCATAACTAAGTGATATGGTGGATCTCGTGCCATTGTTGCCAGCTGTTTGTTTTATCGTTATTCCACTTTGGTAGCAATTCCATTGAATCTGAGACCCTTTAGCAAAAGAAGTTGATTATGGAACTTATCCTGCTCTGGTATAAAAAATACAAGAAGCAATGCTTTAACAAAGATTAATTAAATGAACTGAAAATTAACATGGTTCTCTCCTTCCCTGACGCAATCCCAGTCAGTGACTGAATCACAATTTTCTTTTCTAAACATTTCAGTTCCTTCTGTTAACCAGATCGGTAATAGAAAATACAGTAGATTCAATTATGCAATAACAATAGAATCTTTTTTAAGAGGACAGTACTTGAAAACCCTTGAAGAAATTTTGGGTTAGCTATGGTTTCTATCAGGTTGAAGTTGACATAAGCCAGCTGCCAAAGTGCCAACCAGGCGCATCACAGCTTGTCTGCCTGCACTGATTGAGTTTCCAAAATTGTTCTGCTTTCCTGTCAAACCTAAAAATGGGTTTGATTCCTCTTCATGAAACTTCATCCAGAAATGAATACCACTTTCGAACTGTTCAACAGCATTCCAACACCTGAAATTGACACTCACTATGCATTTCCATCTTCCCTTCAGATGTTTTAAGGAGTCAAAGCTCAAAACCCATGGCCCTTGAACTCTTTGTCTGGACAATCAGTACAGACATAATCACTGTTTATGATTTGCCAAAATCTTTTGTTCCAACACGTGGCATGCAGATTGGAAGCGATGACGATGTTTAGAGGCTTCCAGAGAGCCCAATCACCCCAGTTAATCATGCTTATTAAGTTATTAAGACCGATCAGAAATGCAATATTTAAGCTTTGAGTTGGTAAGTAGATGTTATTATCATCCTTGGGTAGCTGCATTATTGAGCAGTAATCTTAGTTAAAAGAGTTGGATTCAAGCAGCCAATTGATAGCTTATCTTTCCAAGAAGCTAAGATGTTTATCAGTTAGAATGTTGGTTAAGTCACCGTCTCTCTGGAAACGTGACATTTTCCTCATAATCCCAGCCGTTTGTTGGAAAATTTTCTCCAAGCACCTTTCATTGCTATCAATTTTTCCCACTCACATTGTCACCTTGTAATCAAGCGCGATAGTCCCAGTTTCCTGGAGACCTGGTAATCTGGGCACTCCTTCAATTTTAGCCTCAGAAATAGAATTATTGAAAGAATCTGTTTCGAAGATTGAGCAACACCAAACCTGTAAGAGATTCCGAATGAAATACAAGTGCGACTGATTTGCATATTTATGAAGTGGAATCACAAACGAAAGGTACGATCCTTTTCTAGTGCATATTCTGATGAGAAACTCATTAGAATCCAAGTTCACCTAGAAATATATGGCAAATGAATCATCAGAAAAACCAATACAACAAATTCAGGACTTGTTTGTTTGAAACCACTGTTACTTAATACGTCAAATAAGCTTCCGCCATGTGCCCATGGACTCTAACCTATCGTTTTCCACTCCTTTTCCTAGTTGGCCTGCCGTTGGTTTTCTTGGTGATAGTAAGAACTTTTCTAGCTAACTTGGGTAGTTTTCTTTTGTTCAACTTTTGTTTGATTCCATCAGCTGTATCAAGTTTGGGTTATGCTATAATTTCTTGGTTGACCAGTTCCTGCTGTTCAAGATACTAACAGTTATGACTAGATTGGCCTACTAATCAATTTGCTCGAAAAAGGCTCAATTCAATTATTGAGCAAGAACTCTGTAGCCTGTGCAAGTATGTGTTATTAGACAGTCAAGGTCTTGGATCACTGAATCACATAATTTCCAGGGCATGTAGGGTTTTCTTTCTGTCCTTCGACCCTAAAATCACAAGTGAAAAGACCCATTCCATTGAAAACAAAGTACTTTAACACGTCACTCCAACAATAATCATAAGTGCCGTTAGAAACTACTATTATCTCAAAAGTTCAAATTACAATTAGGATAATACACATCAACCTGCCGAATAATGAAACGTTCCATGTGATGGAGCTGAGAGGTCACCAATGAGAGCTCTCCTCTTTTTAGACAAGTCACTGTCTTCGTGATCAAAAATCAGAATCTTTTAAGTGTTAGTGTCCGCCACAGGTTTTAAAAGAAGTACATAAAATGTTTTAATTTCATGTCGAATAAATAAAAAAATTTTGTGAAATTTATAAATGAGCGCATTACACACTTTAATAGGTTAATATTTTGAAAAGGTAATAATTCTGTAACAAAATAATATTAGAACGGATTCAATGTAAACCGATCCACACCAAGCACTTATAAAAGAGAGGTAGGTAGCGTGCTGAAAACAAGAAGGTTGACGTTGGATTGGGTGAAAAAAAATGTGATGAGAAACGTTTTGGAAAAAATATTAGAATACTTTAATCTCATATAAAACAAGTAGAGATCTTTAAAATTTGAGAAAATTGTAAAAAATAATCTTCCTCATAAACTTTCACTCGAACATTTGATTCATTGATTAGTGTATTATCTATTATCTAAAAAGTAGAGTTCGAATCCCTACTCTCCCAATTATAAGAAAAAAAAACCTTCTTCATAAACTTAATTCAAAAATATCATTTATTATAGTTTTGACTATTTTTAACCAATTTTTGACATTACTTGACAACAATACCTTTTAAACAATTTCAGATAAATTAAAATGGTTTCAGTTTTTTCCATTCCGTCATCCAAATAAAAATTTCAAAATTAAATCTCTATTTCTCTCTCTTGCCATGGACTATCTATCTCGCGATCCAACTCTTTCTTGCAATCTCAAAGAGCAAAGATGACATCAAGATATGTATTTTAAGTTTTTAGGTTTATTGGTTTATTCTTAAAATTTTAAAATTGAAGGGTTGAAATTAATTAGACGTATCTGTAAATTAGAACATTGTATAACTTTGATAACTTAAACCTAACTGCTAGTATGCAAATCAATTAATTATTTGGTATTACATTACTAGTTTTTAAGCATTATGTCACTGATTTTTAGCTATTGTGAAACTGAGTTTTAAGTATTATGTAACTTAATTATTGTATCTCTGGTATTTAGGAATTACGTGACTGGTTTTAGGCATTACGTGAATAGTTTTTAGGCATTGTGTGGTTGATTTTTAGGCAATGCCTAAAAGCTAGTTACATAATACCTTACTAACTAGTCATGCAATGCCTTACTAACCAATGACGTAATGCCTACTAACCAGTCACGCAATGTTAAATCAACTAATCATGTAATAATTAAAAATCAGTCATGCAATACCTAAAAACTAGTTATGCAATACCCAAAAATCGATTACGTAATGCCTAAAAACCAACAAAACTATTGAATTTATTTAACAAAATCTAGAACTTCAAACAATACACCATATTCCATTTAACAACATAATTAACGAATATGCCTACTTGGCGAAGAATGCTCAAAATACTCTAAAGTTTTTCTTCATATATCAAAAAGTATTCCAAAATATTTAAAAATACTCAAAACGCTTAAAGATTTTTCTTCGTGTATCAAAAACCACTCCAAAATACTCAAAATGTTGAATGATTTTTCTTTTTGACAAAAAATACTTTAGAGATGAATGATCTGGCAAGTAAAGCTCGAAGAATATGAGTCGATTTAAAATGCAAATCTAAACATATAGGTAGATTTCATTAAAGGTAATTTTGTCCAAAATTAATTCTCTTGGTTAAAAATAATTTTTGAAAAAGACACAAGACTCAATGAAAATACCAATGAGTATATGATGAGTGATAGTAGAGAAAAAATGCGATACCCTTTTCCAAACTGAAGGGATTAATCTGCAAAAGATAGGTTAGCAAAAATTCTCTTAGAACTAGAACTAATTAGATAAACCTGTCTTTCTTTCCTTCCTTATTTCTTTCCCCCTTTGTTAGTCTTTCTATAGCTCTCCTTAGTAAATGAATAAAACCATTTTTGCCCTACATAAAATCAATGATAGAGATATTTACCAACTTCTAGGTCTTCCATTAACTAGAATTTACATAACATATTTTTTTTATTTTAAGAAATGAATATTAGATGTAAACTACAAAATGCCAAAGAGGGTGACGTTTGATATCAATTGAATGGTTCATTTTTTTGTCTCTTTGATCCTTTGGAAATCACCATTGTGTGGTTCTCATTTCCTTACCTTATCAATACTCCTTTTTTTTTTTATCAATTTAGTATTATACTATTTGGCTAAGTATCTCAAACTACTATCAACTTGCCTTGCTA